ACAATACACTGGAAGATCGCAAAGGGTACATAATGGTCGCATACTACAACCATCGACGTCATGGAGAGTCGTCCTTGTATGGGTTTCAAACGGAAGGCCAAATTGGTCTTCCTTTAAAACGGTTAGTTTCGTGCGTTTATGACCTCGTTGTTGCATACACTACTTGCTACTGTGCAACTGCTAGCGGGACTCGAGAGTGAGCCCCAAGGCGGACCGAAACGAGTGAGTTCCGTTAGCGGTCCATGAGCGTTCATCAACGGTCCACGTTAGTATAGTTCGAACATACAAACAGGAGTAACAATCGGTCATTACTGGACGAAATAAGCCAACCGTTCCAGATATATTAAGAAGTTTAAATGCTGGAAAGAAAAGCTTATTTGCCCGACGCTGCGGATTCTCGTTCAAGCCCATCATCAGAGGCAATCGCAGAAAAGGGTAATAGTGGCCACATGCGTGTTAAAATTAGTAGTTCTCGTGATCACCACTGGGGTGTCGTGATTGATGTGATAATGGCTTGATAGCCGGTGGCTAGTTCATCATCGTCCATGCAGGACGCTGGCATGATAATTACACGGCAATTTGATTCACTATCATCAGCATTGTTATTGGCCCGCGCCCTCCCAATTTGACTGATCTTCCTGCCCAGGCAAATTCTCAGCGCATAGTAGGGGAACGGAAAGTCGCTACGCTTGTTGATGGACTGCAGACCTGAGAACCATGACTCGTGCAGCTCGCGGCTCACGCGGTTATCACCTCGTGTGGGGAGTTCGGCCTCATTTACATTTAAAATGTGACCGGCTCTCTTCGAGTGAGTTGAAAACTGGAAGCCAGCCTCTTTCCTCTTCACCGCTGTTGCTGCGTGCTCGGCCATTCCTCGTCTGGACTAATCTCTCGGTTTTTCTGACGTGGTTGCTTTGTCCGCAATTGCATTAGGTCCGGTCAAAGACTCCAGGCGTTGCCCGCCGTAGCTGTCTCAAGGAGGCTAATGCGAAAATAAAAAGGACAACCTTAACCGACAACAAGTACATAAGTTCAAGGGCTTTCCCTGCCCTCTTATGGACTAGAAAGCTAGTTAAAATACTTTATTAAATTACTCTTGGCTTAGACACGACTTCATCTATTATATGCGATTAGGGGCACACAGAGTTGAGGACACTGTGCGACAAGCAGCTAATATTATGTTTATTGATAGGAGCGAATATTCGAGTTCCAGGAAGTAGGTCAGAAGTAGAAGATGCGATTGGCCTGACGTTTCGGATTCTGTCGAGAATCCTTTGTCCGAGGTAACCGTGGAATTGCGTGATATATGTACCGATTACGCAGTTCGTAGTGGCCACGCGACCTACGTGGTTACGGGAGCTGATAAGTATATTGCACATGCGGTCATGTGGCCACTACGAATCATAAATACTGCATAATCTGAACATATATCACTCTTATCAATGCATTATCACGCAGTTCTACGGTTACCTCTGACGAGGGGGTCTTGATGGAATCCGAAACGTCAGGCCAATAATCTTCTTATGCCAGCAATCGTGTTTTCTACTTCTGAATTATATTTATTGTGAAGTAGACTTACGCGGCATCTACCAACCATTCCTTCCTACATATTCTTTATTCCACTAGAGAAAGAGCATCAAGATGGGCGTAAGTGGCTGTCAATTCAGTGACCAACAAAACTGGAGAGAAATTGTACTGGATAAGTGAAGTAAGTTGCATTCCGAGATAATATGATGAAAAGAAAGATCTTCGGAAAATCAAGTTGTACTCGTGAATTTTCGAACAGATATCACCTGTTTGTCGTCAGACTAAATGAAAAGTGAGGGCTGAGAATGTCGCACTAGAGGTTTTGGGGGCAGAGGGTTTTGGGCAGGAGGGTTATGGTGACGTGATTCATTCGGCGAAATTTTACTGCTGTACTATGTAATGAAATAAAAACGAAAATTCTGCAGTTTTTTGGATTCGAAGACTATTTAAGTAGGTCTGCTAAGTTCATTATCGTGCAGACTTATCCTAGGATAATGCATTTACTTCAGGATAACGGCTTTTGAGCGAAATTCTTTCCTATTGCCTGCAAAACTCTGTGAAAAATGATTATTTTATTGGTATGCACTTTGCCCATTGATTTTGTGGTGTCTTTATAAATTGAGAGATACTGTACGGATAACATGCGCACAAAGACGCTGGGTGTACTTTTTTGGCACCAAATCACGTTTTCGTCACAATTTGTAAGTACAGAAGGGTATCTTTGGCCTTTACAATTTCTAACAATAAGATGTATTAAGAACGTTAAATGTCCGTTCATAAGTTATCCTATATGTCTATATTTGTGTATATATATGTGTGTATGTGTATATATATATGTGTATATGTATATGTATGTATTTATTCATATTCATAAGGTATACTACACGGTTCACCTACATTGCCAAATGTTAAAAGCACTGCATAAGGTCTTCCTAGAGGCGTAGACAAACATCTGGTTTTCCTTAGCGTGCAATTTTGAAAACCTGAAGGCGAGCGCAAAAGCAAGCCGGGTTAAGAAGTATTCGACAGTTTCTTTTAAAGGATATACCTTTTTCATGCATCTATCGGGGAGTGTTAAGGTTATTGCGGTTTAACCTTAACGGCTGCGATCTTCCAGGCCCGATTCCATAGGACAGGAGAGAAAAGTTTTGGGAAGGCCAGAGAAGTGGGAACAGTGTATTGTGTATACAAGAGTTAGGAGACAGTTGCCA